CAGTCACTAGTGAAATGGTTGTGAAGCAGATAGACAGACCGAAACAAAATAAGTCGCCGGGTCCTGATGAGGTTTTTTCAAGGGTTCTTAAAGAATGCAAAATGGAAGTCTGTGAACCATTAACTAATATTTTTAATTTATCTCTTCAAACAGGTGTAGTGTCTGATATGTGAAAGATGGCTAATGTAATTCCTATTTTTAAAGCAGGGGACAAGTCATTACCGTCAAATTACCACCCAATAAGCCTGACCTCAACTGTAGGCAAATTACTAGAGTCAATTATAGCTGAGATTATGAGAAGCCATCTGGACAAGCATAATGATACTCAGCATGGATTCACGAGGGGCCGTTCCTGCCTAACTAATTTATTAACTTTCTTCAAGCCCACGATAAAAATTAATTACTGGGATAATGTTAGCGTCTTCCTGTGTGAAAACCAACAGAAAATAATTATAAAAAACTGAGCACATTTCATACTCTTGTCAGTAAGATGTCCAAAGTTATTTTTAAAGGGACCTAACTTATCTCTAACCTTTGATCAATAAATCTGGAAAAACAACCTTTTGGGTTAGTTTTAGAATCCCTATCAACTTTAATTTCATAGTCCCATTTAGGTTTTCTTATTCCCTTTTTAATGTCCCTCTTAATATCAATATACTGATTCGTAAGATGACCCTCACCTATTTTGATACGCCTACAAATTCCTTTCTTTTGCCCTGAAAGATATTTGTGCTTATTGCTCATCCATTTTGTGTCATTTCTATTTGATCTAATTTCTTTATACGGGATAAACGTTCTTTGGGCAGCATGTATAGTGTTCAGAAAACTGTCATATTCATAGCTCTCTTCGTTACATCAGTCCACAGATGATATGTGTTCTCTAAGCCCATTGTAATCTGCTAAACAAAAATCTGGAACCATTACTGAATTATCCTTACTGTCATAATTCCATTCAATACATAATCCCTTGTAATGACTGCGGCAAATTGTACGTGAGCGAAACATCGTGATATTTCCAAACACTTATTTCAGAACACCAGTACGCAGGCAGAGCTGACGATTCATGGATTGCCTGTGTTCAACACCGAAATTCACATAACCATTTAATAAACTACAGAAACTCAAGACTTATCGCCACAGAAGACAACACTCAATACCGAAGAATCCTGGAATCATCGCTTATCTCTATATCCGACAACTTCAACCAGAACAATGGCTTCTATAACATAGCTGAACCACTTGCCAAGAAACTTCTTCATCGCTATCCCACATAAGAACATAAGAATGGAGGAACACTGCAGAAGGCCTACTCATATACTTATCCAGTCTCTCTTCAAAGCTACCCAAGGTATTAGACTCTATAACCCTACTCGGTACATGCAGCATTCTCAACCTGACTTCATCCTATAAATACTCACATACCTTCCACCCAGGTAGATCTGTTTGTGACTTGATAAAGCCCACTGTGGGGGCGAAACATTGTCAATAAAGGATCACATTGTGTTTATATTTCCAGTGGGATGGGTTGTGAAGGACCTGCCTAGTATGGGCCGACAGGCCTGCTACAGTGTTCCTCCTTTCTTATGTTCTTATGTAATTAAATGTCACATTAGTTGCACTTGTGTCCTTTTACCTAACACCTAGCTTTGTGGGTCATGCACCCAGCACCTAACACCTAGCTTTGCTGGGAGCATGACTTTTGTGGGTCATGCACCCAGCACCTAACACCTAGCTTTGCTGGGAGCATGACTTTTGTGGGTCATGCATCCAGTATCTAACACCTAGCTTTGCTGGGAGCATGACTTTTGTGGGTCATGCACCCAGCACCTAACACCTAGCTTTGCTGGGAGCATGACTTTTGTGGGTCATGCACCCAGCAAACAGTCTGGAGTTTCGAGAGTCTCAAAACTCCAGACTGTCGTGTTAGCCACTGGGCCAGCTTGCTTCAATAAGCTTCATCCAACTAGGTATATTTCTACACCATAGGAAGGTTAGCATAGGCACCACTGTGTCCACAAATGCAAGTTTTTACAGACTAACGGGACGATGAGGGTTGAGACACGGGACGGTCTTGGAGTTTTGACATTCTCTAACAGCGGGTTCAAATCCCACCCGTGGTATGGTTTGTTTGCAATCGTGTCATTACGATTTTGTGAGTAAAGCTACTAGGTATCTGGAAGCAGTCCCAATGAGCAGTATAAACACCAAAGCCATTCTTAAGTCCATAACTAAATTTATATCTTATCTGGGCATTCCAAGGTACTAACTTTACAGCCAAAGTTTTCAGAGAAGCTTTAACTAGGCAAGGTATAATTCATAAATTATCCATCGCCTATCATGCTCAGACCCAAGGACCCTTTGAATGATTTACTTAAACATTAAAAACCATGATGAGAACCTTTTACATGCATTTTCCTACAGACTGGGATGAATCACTTGCTCTGCTGCTGTTCGCAATAAGAGAATCTGTGCATAAATCAACAGGGTACAGTCTTTATGAACTAATTTTCGGGCAAAATGTACGACGTCCTCTGTGAGTGCTCAAGGAAGGAGGGATGAGAGAAGAAGCCTGCATAACACTCCACAATCTTTCTTCAAGGTTGCAGGTGGCCCGTTAGTAACTTAAGGCTAACTTAAAATCTGCTCAAAACACTCTGATACAGAGGTATGACAGGAAAGCAAAGTTTCGCTCCTTCACTCCAGGAGACAAGGTGTTGGTACAGGAACCTGTACTTAGCCACACCTTAAAAGTAAGATTTATGAGACCCATGCAGATCATAAGTAAAATCTCTGAGGTAAATTATATGGTATCTCCCCTTAATAAACCCTAGAAAATTAAAATTTACCACCTAATCAGATTAAAATATTTAACAGTCCCCATAAAGTTCCAATAATGACTCTGTCCTCTGCCTCTGTAGACGACCCTGATCCCTTGCACACACAATTTTGTCCTCCTCAAGGACCCTAGCCCTTTAATGATGCAGCTGTCTAAAAATCAAACAATAAGTCTAAATGCTCTCTTATAAACTTACCCTGACATATTTTCTTAAGGATGTCCAGAAAAAATGTACCCTGAGATATCATGATGTAGATGTTGGAAACACTAAGCCTATTAAACTCTCCCCCAAGAGAGCTAATTCTGAAAAACAGAGGCTACTTCAGCAGGATGTAGCGTTTGTGTTAGAAAACGGATCAGTGGAGGAGTCATCCAGTCCGAGGGCATCACAGCGCATCCTTGTTAAGAAATCTGATTAAGGTTTTAGAATGTGTACAGACTACCGTAAGGTGAATGAAGTCACTATTACAGATGCCTTCCCTCTGCCACGTTTGGATGACGCAGATTGAAGTCAGCCAGACAAATCATCTTTCAATTATTCTACGATTCCAAGTTTATATTAACAGTATCTGGGTATTAGTAAATTGACTCCTGTAATGTTTACACTTATATTGTGAAATTAATTTTATTTGATCAATCAGTAAAGACAGTTTGAAGGTGATGATAATTAGTATTCCTTAGTAACTTAATGCATATCAATGTCAAATTTTATATAATATTTTTGACTCATTGAGAATTATGTAGTCCAAGTAAAAAGGCGAAGAAACCATACCACGGGCGGGATTTGAACCCGCGGTCAGAGAGTCTCGAAACTCCAGACCGTGATTTCGTGAGTCAGGCGAAGAAAAACTATTTTAAATATATATTTGACTAATGTTCACTTACACTCTTCAATTTCACTCTCATCTATCATAAAAGTACGAGGCACTTTTTTTGAACGTTTGATGCCAAGCAGCAGAGGCTTTTCAAAATTATCAGAGTCACTCCAGGAATCCTGGAATGAATTATGTAACTTGGTTCATACGGCAGATGGTCATGCCAGTAGTTGCACCAGTCTTGTCTATATTACAGTGCACCAACTTTGTAAATGATCCAACTAGACCCTCTTGTCTTAGTAACCAAATGAAATAAAAAAATCGAGGAAGGAAAAGAAAAAAAATCATGCAAACCCCTGAAGGTTTTCCTTCAGAGATGCATAATAATTTGTGTCTGACACAACAACGTTCAATTTTCCACGCTCAAATCCTTCTTTTTTCTTTTTTTTCATTTAGTGTTTCTTACGAAAGTCAACATATGCCAGATAAGGAGAATATTTAATAAGATATTGTAAAATGATCAGACTAGACTGTGATAATATCTTCTGGAATCAAGGTGGAAAATTTAGTCGTTGTACAGACCAGTTGGCGTGTACTGTTGGTGTCAGCAGTACGTGTGTATGAAAGATGTGTTAGTGAGCTTGTTGTTGCTGACAGAAGAGGAGAGTGCAACAGACAAGTGAAGTAGTACCAGCAACACTCACAGCAATAGGCATTCTTGAGCTTCCCCAGCGCTCAAAGCTGGGGTGTGGCTCGAAAAGGATCCTGCGGTGCTTGCTGTCTTTGCATCTCTTGACATCGTCTGCTGCTATATAGCCGCCACACCCTTCGAGCCCAGTGTGGGTGGGGTTTGTGACAGCCCAAGGTGCTTAGCTTCTCCCTCCGAGCTCCGTGGGGGGGGGGGGGGAAATGGGACTAGGCCTGGGGACAGCTAGTCCCAAAAGACGAGGAGGTACTTGTACCTCCTCCCATGGCAGACATTGGTCAGAGACAGTCCATCGACAAGGAGCAAAGGCTTACGCACTGACGCCCTCCTCCACGCACTCCTATGGACTTCTTTCTCATAATTTTTATTTTTTTTCATACTGATATGACCTATTTCCATTACCTGTAACTCCAGCTACAACTGCTCATCTTTAAATTTACAAAAGCTGGGAAACGGAATTCTTCCTGTCAGGGCTGAGGGACTCATAACCACAAATTACTGTTTAGCGCCACCGTTCATTATCAGCATTCAATTGAGAAATTCATTCCTCTGCAAAAAATCTCTACGATAAATAAACTAAAGTATTGCACTAGTGTTTCATTTATGCTATGTATGTTCAACCTCTTCCTGACTTTAATCTCACCTTTAGGAACTGTGCTGTGTCCAGTGCCAATAAATTCCTGATACTTGAGAGTGTAAACTCCAGTTTTCTTCAGGATGTTCATCATTCCTTCAGAGGGCTCCAGGGCATCAATATTACTGTGAAAATATATTGTGTTAATTAATATGCTTCTCAACTGGTCTTCATATTACAAAATGAAAATAATATTCCAAAATAATATAAAAAAGGAATAACTGAGTTAATTTTTTGAAAAAGAAATCACTCCTATAAATATACCATCAGAGGATTGAAACTATTGATCCTTAATGCTGAAAAATGGCATGCAAACTTAAATTTGTTTATCTAACCTTTCAAAGAAGGTATTGTTAGATTTTTCCAACTTTTCTTAGGTTTTCAAATCAAGACAGTCGTCTCCTATATTAATAATCTACATCTATTGAACTTAAATTAATAATTAGAGTTAAATTTATGAAAGATTCAGTTTGTAAAGAGATTTTTGTAAATTCGTTTAGATCTTGTAAAATAAAAATTGGTGTTGACAACGTGGGTCTGCTGGGGAAGGAAAGGAGTTATGAAATTGGTGTTGACAACGTGGGTCTGCTGGGGAAGGAAAGGAGTTATGAAATTGGTGTTGACAACGTGGGTCTGCTGGGGAAGGAAAGGAGTTATGAAATTGGTGTTGACAACGTGGGTCTGCTTGGGAAGGAAAGGAGTTATGAAATTGGTGTTGACAACGTGGGTCTGCTGGGGAAGGAAAGGAGTTATGAAATTGGTGTTGACAACGTGGGTCTGCTTGGGAAGGAAAGGAGTTATGAAATTGGTGTTGACAACGTGGGTCTGCTGGGGAAGGAAAGGAGTTATGAAATTGGTGTTGACAACGTGGGTCTGCTGGGGAAGGAAAGGAGTTATGAAATTTCACAATTTTAGCATAAGTAAAACATGGGGGAAAAAAAGACACAAATATAATCGTTTACTTGGGACAGTTCGCCCATACAGTGGACTGTAGCAAGTGGAATTGATAAACCTGCAGAAGTAGAGTAAGTTTCTATACTGGGATCATAGTATGGTCATGAGTCCGGTACAAAAATATGATTGAACAGGTCTCGATGTGAGACGAACTTGGTTAGTAGACCAGTAGATATATGGCAGTTCTTCTCTATTATTATGTGCAACGATTATGATCAAAAATTACGTGAAGAAGCATCCAGAGACCGACACACATTAATGTGCCAGCAGAATTAACTACGTAAATAATGCGTGTTTCACATGGAAGTTCTAACAATCACTTGATTAATTACTAGAGATTCACGCATTATAGCCAAGAAAGAAAGCACCCAGAGAAGAAGTATTCTACAATGACTAATCATCAGAACTTGAACTAGGAAACCGGGATCTACATCTTCCAAGGAAGCTTCAAAATCTCTGTCAATCTTGGCCTACCTAAATGAAAAGGACAGTTACTCTTAACTATTAGCACTTATGCTTTCTGGTTACGGTGGAGACAAACGAGGAACAAGAAACTGGAGACCAACAGCTACGACGAAATCAGCAGCAAGAAATTGAAGCTCGTGGACAGGAAACGTTGGAAGCTGTAAATGTGGAAGGTCCAGGAAACAACGTTAGACAAGAAATTCTTTTGCTGAACTGCCTGACATGTGTGTGTCGATCATAAAGACTGTTCCATCATGGCCACTTGAGATAAGTATATGGTTATTGTTGGCAATTTTCTTGTAAACTGTTCAAGTATACTAATACAGACAGACGGAGGAATAAAACATAAGCACAGGTTCTTAATATGAGGAAGTAATTAGGTGTTTCTAGTATCAGTGTTAAGATTATTGAGATTAACTGTTCCCGGAATTAGAATGTTAAGAAATGAACCAGACACTGTTACTTATTACTAAATAACAAAAAAGGCACAATACCGTGACTGGAACGATACACAAATAACCCGCACATAAAAGAGAGAAGCTTACGACGACGTTTCGGTCCGACTTGGACCATTGACAAAGTCAATGGTCCAAGTCGGACCGAAACGTCATCGTAACCTTCTCTCTTTCATGTGCGGGTTATTTGTGTTACTTATTACTAAATGTCCTAAGATATTCATGTGTTGTGCATGTGTATAATTTATCAACTTCTGTTCTCTGAACCATTTATCACATTCCTGCTAGACACAACAACATCTTGGTGTCATAAAACAGGGAATTCTTCACTTGCCTAAAATTTAGGCATGACCTACTTCCACATTTGGATTTGTCAAGTGTGATACCACCTACGACTGCTTCACCTCACCTGTCTACAGTATATAAACCACTTCGCGCATATACTGTATTCTTTTCAAGATTGAGGGACTGATTACCTCAAACTCCTCCTGTTATTCACCATTCTCCTTTATATGGACTGATAAAGCTACTGTGTGGCGAAACGTTTCCCCAATAAAGATACCCAAGTATTGCACATGTGTCTAATTAATCAATTTGTCGGTTCTCTGAGCCATTTATCTACATAACCCATCAGTAAAATGGGTACCTGGGCGTTAGTGGACTGGTATGGATCGCATCGAGGGACAAAACTGACTTAATTTGGCTGAAATACTCTGCATAACAAGGGGCTTTCTATATAGTAATATATCATTGTTGTCAGCTAGGATTGTATTCCATATACATGCACTTGTAGAAATAAAGATATTATTATATTATATTTATTATTATTGATTGATTATTCTGCTCCCATGTAGATATTCGCTAGGGAATGTTCTCTTCTGCCTTTGGAGTTAATGCAACATGAAACCCACCGAATTATTCTTTGTTGTTACAAATCTACAAAGGCTCTTAATATGACAAAGCAGCTTTGTGTCTAGCATCAGTGATGGGATTGTTGAGATCAACACTGTACTTGGTATTAGAATGTTAAGAAATGAACCAGAAACTAACACTGTGAATCTAAATGTCTTGAAGTAAATACACATAGATCTAAGTGGATCATGAAAGTACACAATTATATTAGGTTTCATAACGTAATAAAATTGTGTGCTGTATCACCGTTGATAACAAAAACATTTCACCCCTCCAAGAAATCCCTCCCAATCACCTCCCAAGAAGCTCATTACTAGTAATCCCTTCCTTAAATCCCTTGTAAAGCAACTTCCCAAGGGAAAATTTCTCGCCTATATGGGAGTAATAATACATCTAGTTATATTCACTGATGGATCTAAGAAGGAGTTTACTGGCACTGTTGCATCTGCTCTTGTTGCCGCCCCTCTAGTTAAGAACAATGGGAACTTTGTTGAGTTAAGCATAAGAATTAATAACTGGGAGTCAACATTGCAAACTAAATTGTTTGCCATCTTAAATACAGTGAAGCAGCTAGCCCAGGTTCCAGATACATGGTGACGTGTAGCTAAACAACACCGCTCCCAGAATGCCAGTCACTCATATGTGATGTTGATTTCCACAGTAATTGGATATGAAGCACCGCTGTCAGGATGACAAAGTCACAAGTGTTGAGAAATAGTTTACCAGCTAGGTTAAAGATTAAATATAGGGAGTACTTAGCTGATAAGACAGCTCATCGCCTGCACTGCCGCCCCTGCAGGTGAGGTCTTGAGAAGCTGTCGAAGTCACTTCTCAACGGGCTGTAAATAAGCATATTATGTTAATAATAATTTACCCCTAGGGGGTGTTATGTCAACATATATCAGTCACTGATGGCTGACGACACTTACTTGTATGGACTCAAAAGTCCACTTATCACCGGGGTTTATGATAAGTAACTAACTCGTAGTTTAGACTCAACTGCACAGTCAATAGTAGTACATCACGAGTTAGAACACTTACCTGGGTATATGTATCTAACCCATAGTTACACCCAGATATCCGATGAGTTGATTGAAGAATAGTGTTCTTTGAAGAATGTCGCACTACACTCCGCTGCAATGCCCCTCGAACATAAGGGAAAGGCTGACCTAGTACTTTTTGCTTCCTTGCCAAATTTCCTCTATGAAGCAAAGCAAAATGCTTGATTCTTGCTGTTTAAACATAGACAACAATGTCCACTATCTTTACCATAGTAATAAAGTGGGAGCAGAATTTTCCTTAATTGTCCTGCTAACGTAAGATAAGGATTGTCTCTTAAACTACACTTTGCAACACTTGACTCTTGCAAGGAGCAGTGGTCACTTGACCACGTCGCAAACTTGTACTGCATCTGGGATCAATTACTTGCTGTAGCAGTAAACAAGATGCTTGTCCCTTCTGAGAGGGCTGAGCCCCTCAAGGTTGAAAAGGCTGAAGGGGGCTAATACCCCCCTCCTGGAGAAAATTTCTCCACACTGGGGGGCGGCAGAGGTTCGCTGCTGGTGAACTATTCATCACTTAACATTAATTTGATTTTCTCATTCGCCACCACTGCTGCTTGTCTTTTCTGAACAGCTTTAGTCTGTGTGGTTTATGGAGAATCACTAATTTTATTTTCAACACTGTGTAATTCTAACGGTACTAGTTTATTTATTGTCCGCTTATTCACTACACCTTTGCTCAAAACATCAACTGTCCTGATGATTCCATTTGCATCAGGATACATGGTCACAATTTTTTCAAGTAGCCATTCGGACCTTGGACCATCATTGTCAATAATCACTATGTCACCAGGTCTTAAGGACTTATGATTTTCAGGAACTCTAGCTCCATAGAAGTGTTCTCTCAATGAGGTGAGATAGTCTTCTCGCCAAATTTTCTCCCAACGTTCAATCACTTTATTAAGGTGTTTAAATTGACGTCTGAGTTGCTCATGTTCGAAATAAGTAGGATCCTCAATGATTTCTTTATCATTCATGGGAGGAACATGTTCGAGCCTTTTGCCATGGAGTAAATGAGATGGACTTAACACTTCTAAATCGTCCAGATCATCGGTAACATAAGTTAGAGGTGTGTTGTTGACTCTATTTTCTATTTCAGTCACAACTGTATGGAATTCTTTAAAGTCGATTCTCTGACGATGAAGAGTTTTCCTTAGACAACGTTTTACAATGCCGATCATTCTTTCATAAAATCCGCCGTGCCATGGAGATTTAGGAGGAATGTATCTCCAACGACAACTGTGTTGATTCATCATCTGTTGTACTTCTGGCTGATCG